CTGCTGACTTCTTGCTGAACGAGTGCAGTTATGCTCCATTGAACTGTTTGTTGACTGCTGAACCAGTTGGACCAGATCTCTGTATTTGTGTCAACGGTTGAACGTCTCAATAAATCCCTGTGACATTTTTTTAGCCGTGAATAATTTTCCTGCCGTGGAATACATCACGCACGCGGAACCATCTGTGGGAAATTCCGACAGGTGAACATTTCCTTTCACAGCCAGTTACTGCGTTTGGAATTGATGTAGTGGACTATTGGATCTACACATTCGTGAGTCCCCATTAGACTACTCATTCTTTTTCTATTGTGATTTTGTGATTTTGTATTGGTTACTAAGCTTGTTAATTTATACGAACACGCTGATAAGGTCCTAGTCCGCTACATTCTCAGTATCCACTGACCCCATCAGTCATGCTTTCATTCTGGCTGTAGCAATGCAATCATGCCCGAAAGTATGCCACCTACTAGCTAGGAACAAACATTATTGGTACTATAGGTTACTTGTAGGATCCGGAAGCACTCAAACAAGTTTGGTCGATGGATACAGGCCAGACTAAAATTGTCAGCTGGCCCGCTAGGTGGTGGACAACTTGTGTCTTAAAATTTGCATACGCCAAACACTGCTGCCTCGCGGCCGGGCTCTAAAGCCAAAGACTTTGGATGAAGGCCATAATGGTCCTGTATAGCTCTGGGTCATCTGGCACCACCTCGCTCGATGCACAAACACAAACCTTATGGATACTGATAGTTCCATACATATTGTTTACTAAGTGGTGTAATTAGACATACCGTATTAGTCGTCGCATTTATCAAGGCAGATAAGAGAGAACAGGCTATCAGTTACACCTGAAATCTTTAAACATTACCTACTAACTCTTATGGTCCGAAGGGTCACGCCTAGAGGCCAGCTGAGAACATGAACCGAGAAACACAAATAATATCTGGCTTACCGCGACAGCTTGTGGAAACCGTGCATACGGAGACGGCTCCACGGGTGAAGTGAAAACTCAAACGTTAAATGAAATAAAGTGGATTATAACCAGCTTAAATCGCTTAATCCCCAAAACTGCAGGATATTGTCCAGTTCACTCTGAACTAACAGGAAACTCCGGTAATTTGTCTTACAAGTATCCAAAAATTCGATGTGTAGTGAAATCAAGGCACCTGGAGACTCACGCATTACACTGAAAATTCACGTCACTAAAAAGCATAGTCAGAGACTGTAAGAAGCATCATAGAATCAGCCTGCATTCATGCATCCCATAACTGATAGCACAGTAGCAGGTTCCACACTGTGACTGCGCAGTAGTCTTGCGCCCTGATCAACGACGGTGGTGGCGATAACAATAGGAATGATTACAGTGATGATGGCCTCTAGGCTGATGCCACGAAGTTTCCTGTGGTGTTTGCGTACCGATGGTGTATAGCGCCTCAGGTACTCTTCGGCATTGTACTCTGCGTATCGCCCGAACCCAGGCGGAAGATGTTCATAAAACTAATTTGTGTGGAGGCAATTCAAGCGGGCTATGGACCAAACGAAAAGATTTTTTATTTGCCTGAAAACATGCCAATTCGCAACGAACACTTTTAGCCCGACACTTCCTACCTCACGGCAATGTTCCTAGCCGAATTCAGCGTGAGATTCTTTGATAACTTCAGAAATACGGCAGTAACTAAATTCGGTTGCCCTTATTACATCTTGCCTCTCGGTGCAAAAACAGTGGGCTAGGGAGCAAGCCAATGGTCAGCACGGAAGTCAAGAATGATAATGGCTCTGTTCTGTAAGAGGAAGCAGTGGTCATATATCTACCATCCAGTAGGTCCGGGAGCATCAAAGATGCGTCCGGTAACCAGCGATGTTCACTTTTTACTTGAAGGCTATGATGCGTCCGATGGTGTCGTAGAGGTGAGAATTTGGCTTTTGTGACTTCCGGTTTCCGGTCTTTGGTGTCCGACCACATGCTCCGCGTACTTGTCTGGTGACATTCTCGATGACTCCACTCTTAACACTTCAGTCAGCCTGACCCTCGGCGTTAGTCGATTGGGTCACTTTTGACCTGCTTGCTGGGCTTGGTGATTGGTTCTCGAACGTTCTGTCACCAGTCCGAGGGTCCAAGAGTCATTACCTTCCAATTGTTTGCCTTTTCAGGTATGATTTCTACATGAGTACACATAATTTACATGATGGAAAACGAAACCAACATCTATCGCTGCATTTTCTTTATCATTAGCCGGCTCCGCATTACTGACCGCCCACCCAATATTTGCCTTAGCCTCTTTCAGAGCCCCTGGCCCTTCTAGTGCCACCTTCAGCTCCGCCATCACAGCCCTATTTCTAACCGACTCCTCATCTTAAAATACCCTCCGCCGATGCTAAAAACACGTTTTTTGTCCCGTCCATATTGAACCTAGATCTCCCCACACATAGTGTAGCTGGGCCGCCGGCTACCGACACATTCCCACAACTCCCTTCTCTCATGTCTTTCATTCGGGAACCGGCGAACGCAGGGACACTAACCACCACGGTAGAGGAAATAGGGCGGTGAAGGCAACCAATCAAATCTGAGAACGTCATATCACGATGCAATGCAAATCAAGGCCACAGAAAACAAGGTAATTAAATTAGAAGGCGTTGGAATAACCAATTCAACACAAAGAACGCAGACCACAACGCAACAAAGATCAAAAACGGACCAATAGATCCACTAAATTCGTTACACTTCAAGTAGTCAATCAACGCGCATGTTACATAAACGCGCGCAGGCAAGGAAGGAGTGCCCACCCGATGATGTCGCCTCGTATGGTGACAAAACGTTTTCAGCCAATTGCCAAGCTCGGCGAACAGATCAACAGCCACCTGATTAATAACCAATTCTGGATTCCTTATTTTCTCTCAAGTCAGTTCAATTTGGCTACCTTTCTTCCGTCTTTGACCCGTCCCGCTGAAAACGCCACCCGACAAGTCGTCTGCAATAATATTTCTAATCTCCGTGCCAATCCCTCCTATCTCCACAGTGAAGACACTCCACCGACCCATCTATCTTCTCTTCCATCATTTTAAGCCAGTTGTCATCTGGCATTCTACGCTCTAATGCCATCGAATCTGCCCACACAAAGACCTACTAAATCCACCATATGATTCATTCAGTTCTGGCTCTAATTTTATCTCTGAAACGACTGTGGCAAAATTAAGTCCCTTCGCTCCCCGCAACGTCACATTATAATAATGTATATTCCCAACTTGTCGGTGGCATACCGCCTGGCATGATCATCCGTTTACAGTCAGGTTGGGGTATGATAGGGGGATTTGTGGGTTGTGGGAATTGTGCAAAAAGGGGACAATGTCATTAACAGTGGGAGGTACTCGATTGAATAATAATAATATGTTTCTTTTGCAACTTGTAGGGAACAATAGGCATGAGGTCCGACTAATTCAAAGACTCAGTCGGCTGACATGAACTAGAACTGGAAAACCATTACTGGCCATGAGTGACCTTGGGCGGTTGAGTACATGGCCGGAGTCATAACGAGCAAAAGTGGAGGTGGAGATGGGATAATTCGAATAGGGAGAACCCGGCAAGTTTAGTCTTAAAAATATAGTGTAATCTGAGAACAAGCAGACTCACTGGTTGCATTGTTGTTGGGAAGTCAGGTGAAGGGTTGAGGTTGGATGGGGACACAGAGGTGGTTGAATTTGAACGAGAAGTCCAATAGGTTAGAATGAATGTCACGTTTATCGCTGCTAGACTTAGCTTTGTATTCCTGCTAACCATTTATTCGCCCTTACTGGCTGATCAGTTTGGAGGCCTCGTATTCTTCTGTTGTTCCCCTTTTTCTCTTGCCTTTCTACTTCAGGCGCTCGGGCTCATTGGGGTCTATGAAACCAGTAGGCAAGAGTGCACGGTTGAGGGGAGGAATGGAACAGTTGCGGGTGTACTATCAAACTGAGCATGGCAGTGCCGTGCCATCATTGGCCTGACATGCTTCGGTTTTGGACAGTCTCGTGACGGACGTCACATTTGAGATGATTCGTCTTCGGTATGCAGTTCATTGAGCAGCGGTATTCATTTCAGCCTGGTCGAGGAAACAAGCTGGAACGAAGCCGATATGGGACTGCAGGTTTTCTTGGCATGCTTGGTGATCCCGGAGTTGTAGATCATAGGCCAGGTGGAGTGGAGGCCACGTCGTCCAAGGCGGGCACTTCCGAAGTTTAAAGCTTGGGAAGGTGAGGGGATGGGAGGAGATTTGCAAAACATAGTGAGTTTGAGGGGATATAAAATGGTACCACCCATCCCGGAAGTTTACTCCCGTCAGCTCTTAAACACCAGATTTCCACGTTACCATTCTGCGCACTTATATCGGATACAACTAGATCGCTTGTCGTGGAATATGTATGTTAGCAACCGTTGGTAGCTAGTGCATTAAGTACAAATCCATCTATATCCCATTCCATATAATCACTTGTCATCACCTTAATTGCGGCAGACGTCAAGTTTCTTTCTATCTATATTAATGCATATTACCCCATTTAGTGTCCCCTCACCATTTTTTACAAATCTCATCAATCCCGTCATCTTCCTTAGCTTTGAACTTCGGCAATGCCCGGTTTGGACGACTAGTTAGCTGATATCCACTCCATCTGGCCTACGACCTACAACTAAGGGATACCAAACGGACCAAGAGGACCTGCGGTCCCATATCGGCTTTGTTTCAGCTTGTTTCCTCGGCCAGCCTGAAATGAATCCAGCTGCATAATGAATTGCCTAATGAATTACACCCCAGCCCAATCAACTTAAATGTGACGTCCGTTACGGGGCTGTCAAAACTGAAGCATGTCGGGACAATGATGGCAAGGCACTGCCATACCCAGTTTGATAACACACCCACAACTGTTCTATTCCTCCTCCCGACCGTGCCCTCTTGCCCACTCGTTCAATTGACTGTGAATACGGCAAACTCCTAACTTACCCCAACTGTCTCCAGGACATACTCATTCCAGCCTGTTTGACTACTCGCTCTAATTTAACCATTTCTGTGTCCCCATGTCCCCATCCAATCTAACCCCTGAACCTGACCTCCCTACAACAGTGCAACCAGTGAGTCTGTTTATTTTAAGAATGCACCATATGTTTTAGACAAAGCCGGTCATTTTCTCCCACTTCGAACTATCCCATCCCCATCTTCACTTTCGCTCGTTGTGACTCCGGCCATATACCGAACCACCTAAGGTCACTCATGGCCAGTAATGGTTTTCAGTTTTAGTTCATGCCAGCCGGCCATGTTTTTGAACTACTCGGACCTTACAAGTTGGGAAAAAACCTATTATTATTTCATTGAACATTTCCCACTGTTCATGACACTGTCTTTTCTTCGCGCAATCTGCTCTACCCGCACACCCCCAGTCATGCATCATTCTTACTGTGAACGCATGATCATGCCAGAGGGTGTGCCACCCACAAGTTGAGAATAGGCATTATTATTATTGTTCCGTTCCTTCTCTCGACTGTGCCCTCACATCCACTCGTTCAATTAACTGCAAATACGACAAACTCCCCACCTGACTCCAGCTGCTGAACTATTCGTTCGAAATTAGCCATCTCTGTGTGTTTGTGCTTCTCACAAAATTCAGCAACTTTCTGTAAAGTGACGCCGGTGAGTCTCTACAGTTTCGATGTAGACCGTGATTCTGTGATTCCTCTGAACGCTTATCCACCTTGCTAATCCCTCCACTTCGTCATCTCCACTTACACGTTTTGTGACCCTGGCCACGAGTCCAGCAATTTAAGGCCACGAGGCCTTAGCAGTGGTTTTAGGTTTTAGTTCACCATGACCGGCTGGATGACGCCAAATCTGCTGCTTCATTTGATCTAATATTCTGGTTCCTGATTTTTCACCATTTTACATTTTTTTGTCATGTGTCAGGCAGGAAGCCTATCGTTTTGTCCTCATTCGCTCTGTTTTTTGTGCGCCATCCTCAAATTCTAAAGCTCCAATCTTGCTCGTGTGGCGTTTTGTACCCTTATTTTACTTCCATTATAACACCACGTATTTCATCAGTTGCATAATAGTTTTTTGTTTAAATACAAAAACCACAAAAACGCGCACTTGTACAATTTCTCATAATGCAAGCGTGATCACGTGCTTCGACTATCTTCTGATTTCGCTCGCGCTTGCAGCGGTCATTCGCGAGTCTCATGTACCAACTCTGGTACCAAAACATTTCAGACATCTTCGGGATCTATTATATGTGGGGAACTGTTCAGAAGAAGACCTCTGGACCAACATAATTGGATTATGATTTATTCGCTGACCTGGGCCAACGACGAACTATTTTAAAGAGAACAGTTGTTAGTGAGTCTGTTCCATCTAACTTCTTTATTTTTGTATACCCAACCTAGCGTAATTATTTTTATTTCTATGCCACACACTCCTGGTAAACTAACTTATCGGGAAGCCAGACCACTACACTCTATATTCTCCACAATAACGCATTATAACTGTGCTTCCCTTCCAATAACGGTTTAGTGGTGACCATGCCCACATCAAATAATTCCTACCCAAATGATGCTGTCCACTTTCTTAACACATTTTGCCCACAATCAATGCCAGTCATGCTTTTATTCTGACCGTAACATTATTATCAAACTAGATGGTATGCTACCCACAGGTTGGGAATAGGCGCTATTAATTACATTATGGCAAGTTGGTTATGAATGGAGCGTAATCTGGAATAGCATGCAGAATAGCCATCTAGAAGGTTTCAACTGACCGCCGGGAGAAAAATCCTTACCGTTAAGCACTACGGTTTCGTGTTGTCAGGCGTCAGGCTGTGCAATAAGCATTGCCAGAAAGCCTAAGCAGGAGCAGCTAATTTTAGCGATGGCCGAACACAGCCGTGGACGATGG